GCAAATTAAACCTATGTCTCTGAATTCTAGCCACTTGGAAGAGAACTTTTCAAAGGTGGGTTTCCTCCCTTCTTCTATGGTGGGAGAAGGGAGGGAGAAAATCTTCTAAACAGCTATGAGATTAAGAGGGACTCCTACTCTAGAAATTATATCCAGGAGTTGCTGTGCTTGCCAGCCCATACAGCAAAGCACAATAATATCCAAAATCCACAAAACAGTGATACCTTTATTGGCCAACCAAAATACACAAAATAGATGAAACAAGCTTTTGAAGCTCAACTGGCTTCTTCATTGGGCAAAGGTGTTAAAAATCAAACAGGAGAAAGGTATCACTGTTTTGTGGATTTTGGATATTATTATTTGCTGTCTGACCAACACAGGGGCTATACAGATGGCCCCTAAAGGGCAGCTCCATGCTGCGCCTGGGAGCACTGGATCGGGGCCATGGCAACGGCATGCCACAGCCCCGATCTGGTACTTTGCCATTCCAAAAAGAGCTGGCAAATGCTCCTCCTTTTTGGAGCTGCAAAATGCTGCCCTTTACCTCTGCTGCTGCAACTCTTCTGTGCTCCTTTAGCACAGTGTTTCTGTATGCTGCTCCAAGGGAGTGTCCTGATGCCATGTGGTGGGGCACACGGCGTGACAACAGCGTCAGGTCAAAGTTTGGGTGGCCGGCCTGCAGTTGCCATGCCCCAACCCCATCCCCAGGCCACCCCTTTTGGCCAGTCTGTAGAGGCCCACAGTTACTCCTGGATATACTTTCTAGATTTCAGGATACTGCATTTTAGACACAACAGGGGAATCCTAAACAAGAGGGAACAAAGGGCTGAGACATAACTTTTTGAGGTCTTTACCTCCAACAAACTTCAAACATTTGTTTTTGTTTTTTAAATGGAAATGCATTTGATGTGTTTTAAGCAGCATTTAAAGGTGTTTTTCCCCCCCCCCCAGCAACACAGAGACTTCTTGAGAAATTCAATATGATCTGCCAAAAGAGGGGTGGGTAGATACTTTCACACAGGAGAGAAAAAGAAAGGTTTCTCATTGTGTTGCTAATGGACTTATTTGCAAATTTTATTTCCTGGACTTCATTGTTTGTCTTCCAGAACCCATATACCCCTCCTTTTTTTTCCAAACACACACACACACACACACACACACACACACACATTTCTGTCAGGGAATGAAATGGTGGAAAGGGGCGCTCCAGCCCATTAACATTCAACTAAGAGGAAAGAGGGACTCTGGACCTTAAGGGTCCTCCCCTTTTTTCAAACACACACCCAAACATTTCTATCTAGGGAGGGAGCTGGAAGGAAGGGTAGCTCCAGTCCCAAGCTAGCGAAAAGTTCCACCTTGCATGCAGCATCGCCCCCACATTTACCAAAACACAAGAAAGCTTATTCATTGCTCCAAGCCTCTGCTTGCCTCCTTTCCCTTCCTGCCTCTGGGCTCTGGGTCTGGCACGCCTGCACAGTACCACCCAGAGACTCAAGAGTGCAACCTGGATGAGTTTTTTCCCCTGAGGTTTCACTTCTGCCTTCAGGAATCCAAGACATGCTGCTTTTCAAAAACTTCAGTCCCAGATTTTCACAGTTTTTCAGCAGCAAAGGCAACCCTATTTGCAACCTCCATCCCACAATTACCTACCACAACCCCCTTTTCCCTCTCACCGCCCCCCCT